AAAACCCCAACCCATTTTAGCACTGAAGATGTTATCTAGCCGGGTAATGAAACATCTACAAGAAAAGAACCAAGCAAAGAACCAAGCTCAGAGAACCCCAAGGACTCCACAGTTCAACCCTGAGCTACACATATTGGCCTCTATTGAGTCAAATCAAATCAAATTAATAAATAAATATCATAGAGTCAGAAGGGTGAATTTAGGCCAAATCCCTGCTTGCTACAGGGAAATCACCAAATATTTTCCTCAAAGCAAAATATTGAGAATTTGACTAAAATTATAGCCATATGTTGAAGATGATAAAAAATATTAAACTAATCTTGATTTAGACAGGGTATACCACTGACTTGGTTAGGCTGTTAAATTCTGTCCTTAACTTGTATCCCCTCTTTTAAGTAAAAATGTACGTAAATGACATACTATCTATCCCAATGAGAGATTCACCACTTTATCTTGGCAAGAGAAAACTGAGATAGAACTGAGTATTATCTACAAAACTTCATAGTGATTAAATTAGAGATAGTAACTCTAATTTAAAAAGTATATTTCATAGGTACAAAATATACACAAGATAAATATCTAAATATAACATGAAGAGTAGATCTCAGTACCAACCTGTTATTTGCATTCACTTTGTTTCAGGCACTCCCAGAATAACATAATAATTTAGATTAAATCAGTGAATCATTTTCAGCCACACCTCTTCATGACCCTTTTACACTAATGATAATTAGAATGCTGTTCATATTTTCCCATCGCAACATTATCATGTTGGGAAGTTTATATAACTTCCCAACATGATTGGGAAGATTGTGTTTTCCTCTGGCTTCTTAAAGAGACATAAATACTATACCATTTGGAAGATGTACTCTATCTGATTGGGGCTGCCCTGAGTTATAGCCCCAATCAAATACAGTTTAAGCCAGAATTCCTCCACTTTTTTCCTCCCGTATTTATTGGGACTGCAATTTCCAATTAATCTAGTGAGTTCCAGGTATTAAAAATTTGGCATATACTCATCTTTTGGTAGCAAGAACAGTTCTAGCTCAGCTAGAGATCCATCTTTTTCTAGTATGATTGCATTGTTTTTATTATCTGCTTGACCAATGACAATCAGGAAGTGAAGTTTTTCCCATCCTCATATTGTGTTTCTGTCTGTTAGTTCCATATTAAGCATTATATGAAGGGGCTACTGCTTCTAGGTTACCATCAATTCAACAAGGGAGAGAGAACACAAATCTTTTCACCTTGTGGAAAATGAGATATAAGACAAAATGTTCAGGCACTAATATGTGAGAAAGAAGCTGACTATCACCTTTCAGAATACCTAGCCAATGAAGTCACAACCAGTACTGATAATTTATGTACAGTGTCAGCTACAAAGATAAGTTCTGAGTAATTAATTTTTTGCAAGATAAACTTCTGCTTTATTCTGAACACAATTTTTGGACTATACTTGTGAGAAATTAGCAATCTCCATGGAAATACATTTTCAGCCAGGAAAACTTCCAGTATTTTCCATTAAAATATATTGTAAAAATGTTATTGCATTGGAGTTGTATACAACATAGCTCTCTTTGGGTACATATGCTCAAATGCTACACTGCTTGAGCAAAACCCAGGACATAATACACTATCCCCAGAGCCGTCATGGCTATAATCAAGGCTTGCCAATGCCAGAAGAAAGTAGCTGACTTTCTTGTTTATAAGCTTAGACTGCAGATGAGACCCTATATCACCTTGTATTTTATCCATATTCAGCTGAAACAAAACTTTAAATCAGTCACTACAAATGAAGTCTGTAGGCCATGGAGAATCCCATGGCACTTTTTATATGGTAATAAATCCTTTAGACAAATTCATTTTGTTTGTAAACATTATTCCCATTCTGTTTTTCTAAATTTCCCATTTGGAAAGGCTAAGGCTATAAAATTTGTCATTGTCACTTTTCTCAAACTTGATGCTACTGGATGCTTTGCAGTTGTTTCCTTCTGGGTGTTCTTCCTCACTTAGAAAGTCAATAACGCTGGATAATATTTGAGAAAACACAACTTTCCCAGCATAGCTGCCAATCTTCTACAATATACAAGGGCTACCAGATTTGAACTGCAAAAATCAGGATGATGGCAAAAAGAAGTTGCCATCTAGTGATAGTCCAGATTTCTACAGCCTAAAAATATCCCTACAATATATGAAACTAGAACTCTGGTTGAAACCATATCTGGTTCTACCATATCTGGACTGCAAAAAAACTGGATAAACAGTACTTAATACTTAGGAGTTATCATTCTCTATATCTCTTTGCTGATATCTGATGGTTATTCTGATTTTTACATGGGGGATCTAATTGAAATTCCAGTGTGTATGGATTCTACTGATTATTCTATTATAACGTGTGTGATTCTTAAAATAATGACTCTGCTTAAATGTCTTATATAGTTAACTTTCCTGTGATACTGACTTTAGCATATTTGGTTCTGATAATTCCTTTCATTTTTTTAATATCATGAATGTTATGGATAAATAAAGTTAACTTTATTTGTGGATATTATTCATTAATTTGTGAGTAATTTTAAAAATACATATTCTAAAATGATGTATAAAATAAAATGCCTCCATCAATAAATGAAATAATTTTAAACAATCTTCATAAAATAGCGTTAATGAATAATAATTATAGTTTTAAAAATAGATAATAGACAATTGAATTGTTTTAAAAGAACGTTTAAAAGATCTGGAAGGAAAAAGATTTTTTTCCGTAGTGCTTTAAGTACATTAAATTGCTCCTATGAGGCAAGTTTCACTTCTATATACAGTGGTTACAACCAAAAGGAAGCACCTTTGATGAAGTGTAAAAGCACTTACCTTTTCAGCTATTAATTTGTTACCAGAATAACACAGTTGTGCAATTATATGAGACTGAAATATTATGATTGTCACGGCTTTCAAATTATTGTATTAACATTTTCATTACATCCATCTTATGAAGTAGTCTGTGATCCACAAGAGCTTCCATGATAATAAATATAAGTGAGTCTTTAAGACTTTTTTTTCCTTGCAGAATAACATGCCTAGTCCTCTAGAAACTTGTACAATTCAATAACTCAGTACATGGTACTCTTTTGATTGTTTGCTCTTTCCAAACTGGGGGGGGGGATAATTTTTTATGATAAAACTGTCAGCAGATTAAGTGTATTTTTTCTATTACTGAGAAAGAACAAAGTTAGAAGGCCAAGTGAATAAAGGATACATGTGCTGAAACATTGGGGAGAATGATTGGGATACGGGTTCTCAGCTTCACCTCAAGATAGCGATGCCATCAATAAGTGGTTTTTATTCCTGTATTGTACAGATTCTGTTGGAATATACATTGAACAGACATGACTGAACAGTAAAATATAGATACACCCACTGAGACATTTTAAAGCATGCAACACTATTATCTTTCTGGTATTTTAGATGAAAAATCTTCATAGGCTTGGAGTTTAAGGATCTTAAATTGTTCTTCCAAAGTCAGTGCAAAAGTAACTCCTGCATGTTTGAAATAATGTAAATTAAAACTAACACTGCTATAAACAGTTATACAGGTACAGGGTATTAATTTTTATTTATTCCACTGTTCTCTCAGACCTTTATTTTGTATTTATCAGGTATGTTTAGATCTTGATTAATTTACTACTGTGTGAATATTGAATGTTTGCAGGAAGGGCTTAATAATTATTTACCATAATTTTTTTCTGCATATAAGTTGTGGGAAAGTACACTAAACTAAGCACAGTTCTTCATCCATACTTTATATTCTAACTCTTTGCCGTAGGTTGGTAAGGTAACAGCTGAATATTCACAATACAATGCTTTGACCCCATTCACTGAAGCCTGATTTGAGTGCCAAGAAAGGCGCCAAGAAGCTAATATTATCAAGATTTACATCCTCCACTTGGCAGAACAAGACATTTTTAGGAACTGGGAAAGGCTTGACCCTGACAGCTGCCAAGCGTATTGTACGTGATTTCTGTTAAGCTGCTTCTTGGGTACACAGGGCAACTGGATAACAGAAAAGACAGGGAGAGAAGAAATAGAAGAAAACAAAGAACAAAGAAGGCAAGTACAGTAAAAAAAAAGGTAGTAAACTTTCAATAAATTCAATAAACACACAATTAAAATCAATAAAAGTCAGTGTTAAAAACTACTCTGCAAGAGGGAAACAATATCAGAAATTAAAGGCCTGGGGAAAATAAAAATGTTTTTGGAACATAAAGGATAAATGAGTAAAAGTGAGAGGAACAATATCCAAATTATGAATAAAGGCTGAAGAAAGGGCTTAAAGTATTCCACAAACAGCACCAAGTAATTATCCCAGTTTTAACTACACTGTGTTTTCTCAGAGCCTTTTAAAGTGATAGTTGAAGAAGCTTCACAATTTAGCAAAGGGGCAATTTTTTTCTCCAAGGCCCAATCCTTACTTGTACCTAACCACTGCATAAACTTTCCCTGGTAACAATCTTCTTTTCAGCCGTATCCCCATGATATTGCTTTCATTCCATTTATATCCCATGAGGGAGACAGGCTTAAATGATACCAATACTATTTCCCCCCTTATTCTGACACCATCCAAGGGCATGGTGTATATTTATCACCTTTGAAAGAACTCAGAAGTCTGTAATAATCTGAAAGAGGCAGTAAAGGCAGGATAAAGATCAACAATGGGCCAGCAAAGTCATGTGGCATACTTCTATGCTAATTAATGAATGGGTGGATCAATAGATCAATAGCTCTTCAATTCAGCAGTGCAGAATTGCCCCAACTGATAATCAGAGTAAACCCACTAGCCTCCCTATTTTTTTCCCCAGAAACTCCAGGCCTTATCCATATTGTGACGCAGCCTGCTCTATTCAGCACTATTGTTTCAACTACTTTGGTTCTTAACTTCCTAGAAAAAAAGGACAAATGACAAGATGGAAAATTGATAACTAGATCAGAGTCATGATCTTCATCATCTCATAAAATCATGAAGAGAGGATATGAAGGAGAAAGAGTCATTATGGAGAAGACATTAAAGGAAAGGTCCTTCTAGATAGATGGCACCTTGCACTGCCAACCAAAATACTTCTGCAACTGAGCAGCTGTGCCGTGTTTCCCTTTTCAATCTACGTTTGTGTTAAGGATGAAAAAAGATAGAAGAAGCTGTAAGAAGCCAGATGAAGATTACAAGTGGAAGACATGATAAAATTAAATGAGTAAGTTACTCCAATTGCACAATAAAACTCTTCTTTGGAAGCAGCAAAGTGAGAAGAAAATGGAGCAAAAGAGGAAGTGGAAAGAAGAAAGAAGGGGGAAAATGAGAGGATATTTGTGTGATAGAAAAGGTAAAGAAAAACATTCTGAGACTAGGGAAAGAATAGAAGAAAGATGAGCAGCGTTTTTTTTTTTTAAAGGTCAGCGATTACAATAATGGTGTATTTATCCCCCACCCCATCCCACTGGATATTTACCACGAAAGGATAAAGAGGCAAGAAGTGTGGGAAAATACAGGTTACCTATGGAAGACAGTGTTGTCTGGACCTCCCAACCTTTCGTGAATGAAGCTTCGTTTGAAAGCAGACAATGAGAGGGAATCGAAAGAAGACGGCTAAAGGCACAAACTGAGGGTGGAAGAAAAAGGGGAAGAGAGGGAAAAGAAAGAAAGAAAGCAAGAAAGAAGGGGAAAGCACCGGAGGTAGACGAGAAGGTGGGAGGGAATGCGACTGCGGGAGGGGCAGCGGCGGGAGGGAGCAGCGAGACGAGGATGATGCTGAGGCGGGAGAGAAGAGCAGCGCGGAGCCTGACGCAGCCGCGCAGCCAGCAGGAGCCTCGCCATCCCGTCGCCTCTCGCGCCCCCAAGGCAAAGCGGTCCCCCCCAGAGCTTGCGCGTGCCGCGGCCGCGCGCCTTCGCCTGGTGCTTTACGCGGCGGCCCTCTTTAGACAGAGAGGTGGACTTGCCGCCTTCGGCAAGGAAAGCGAAGCAGCCCTCGCCTCCTCCTCCTCCTCCTCCCTCTTCTCCCGCACCAGGATGTTCGCCCAGCAACAGCAGCGGGAGCCGGAGCCGGCGCCGCCTCCTCGGGGCTGAGTTGCCTGCCGCCCCACGAGGCAGGCGCTGGGTCGCTCCCTTTTTTGGGTTTCCCTCCCGGCGAGGAGGGGCCGAAGCAGCAGGGCTGGTCGCCGGCCCCCAGTTCCGGATTGTGGTGCATGTTTGCTCCCTGCGAGTGCGTGAGGCGAGGGGGCAGAAGGACCATGAAAATGATCCGGTTCCGGAGCTCGAGCATCAGGTCGCTGAGCCAGGATATGAAATGCACAATCCGTCTTTTGGACGACTCGGAGATCTCCTGCCACATCCAGGTAACTCTACCCTTTGGGAAGCTGTGGACAACTCCGATGGGGGCCTTTCACCTTCATGCATCCTCCCCCCCGCCTTACTTCTTCCTTTCCCTCTCCGCTAAAGGAAAGCTGGCTGGCACTGCCTGCCGCTCGCCCTGCGTTCAACGGCATCCCTGCTGTGTCACCTGCTTCCCGCTCGCTTGCGCCTATCCGCCCATCTCTCTCTCTCTCTCCCGAGCACACACGCACAGCGCTCCCGCTATAGTGAGAAGTTGTTTACAAGCAAAGCGTGAACCGAGGCAGGGCTGGTCACCGCAAGGTCGTGGCGGGGTGGTGGGAGCGAGCAGAGCTAATGTGGAACTGATGGAGATGTTCCTGCTGGAAATATATTGAAGACCCCAGAACGTTCCCCTGGAACGGGCTTACAACACAGCTGCGCAACTGTGAACATAAGTTGTGTGTGAAATCCAGTTGGCATTTTCTCAAGGGGGGGGCGGTCCCAAGGGAATGTTTGATGGGCTTCCAGTGAAAAAGTGTCCTGTAGCTAATCAGAGAATAAAATATGGGAGAGTTACTGTTGCCTGGCTTGGAGTCCTCATATTTCCCAGAGTTTAAATGGTGAAGTTGATCCTTTCCTTCTTTAGATGAACTACTATTGTGATTTGGAGTGCTGTCTGGAATTTGACTGAGCAGTGTCAGTGGACAAAAGATATATTTCTTCTTCTATGTAGGCCTTCAATTTATTTTATATTGAATATAAAAAAGATAAGGAAGTGTCACATTCTGAAGTAAATTCCTGGTCCATTTTGACTGATACTGGTTATTGTGGCTCAGAGCAAAGACCCCTTAGTTTTTATACAAATGAGTATATCTCCACTGTAGTTCAAAGACATAAGTACAGGTAGCTCTTTCAAAGAAGGGGGGGAATAAACAACATTATGGGAAGAATCAGAGGTTGCAATAATACAATTATATTATTAATTATTGTATTTTGGGTTGTGTTTAGACAAACTACTGTTTCTTTTTTCATTCATTCTTCAGAACAGTCTTTGAAGTGATTAGGGAGATGAAACTCAGAAGTGGTTGAAGAGTCTGTCTGGAGGGGGAAAGAGATGGCCAATATGTGGGTGTGGATGTGTACGTGTGTATGTAGGGGGATAGGAGTTGCTGTATTTGGAAGTATTTAATTGCAACCAGTCTCATTTTACTGTGAGGAAGAGTGAGATGGCTAGTATTACTACAGATGGCTAGTATTACTACACAGGAGGTTTCCAGGAAATAGGGCTTTCTGTCCCTGTATGATTTTATTAGGTATCTTTAGCATAGTCAGTTTTCTTGTCCTGTATAAAATTAATTGCATTTTAATTTTGCAGTGCTATATCAAGACGGTTGGCAGTTAATTGAGTACTTTCCATATCTGTGTATTATTTCTGTTGTCTTAGACCAATATACTATCCAACATTTGAACTATAAGTTAAGAACATCCTTTGGTAACATTAGCTGGGTTCAGTAATGAGGGTGGAGAGGGGGGAGAAAGAGATATATTTCTTTATTTATTATAGATGCTATTATCCTACTTCTGTCATCAAGAATTTAAATGGCCTATATTGTATGCTCTAACCAAAAGAAATAATCATGGTGATCTATGAATTAAAAATCAGTAATCAAGGACAAGTTTCACAACAAAATTAATTAATTGCAATACTTTGTCCATATTTTTCAAACCTTAAATATGTTACTTTTCAAAAAAATAAAAAATTAACCATTCAGAGTAAAAATGAATGTCCATTTTTAATATTTTCATTTTTTCTTTCATTAACCACACCAGAACATCACATAATAATCAAATTTTTAAAAGCCCTTATCAAATTGATGAACAAAAACTTTAACTGATTTCTCTTCCAGTTAAAGAGATTGGAACTTTTGATTCTAGAAACGTTCTATTTAAGAGAGTTGTTAAATTAATTATTCTCAAATTCTTCTTCAAATCATGTGGATATGGGCACTAAAATTTAGAATATGTTAAGCTGTTTTTCTCTCTTTATTTTCAACTGCCAGGACTTTTCTTTCAGAATATTGTGTGCTTTTAACCTATTGGTTTCAAGAAAAGCAAATATAGTTTAGACTGCAACTACAGAGTATTTTTACCAAATCCCAGGAAGCAATAGTTCCGCTTTATTTTGTGTTAGTTAGACCTAACCGTGGATACTGTGTCCAGTTATGAACATCATATTTCAACAAGGAGTGAGACAAAGTGAAAAAGTTTCAGAAAAGAATGATCAAGGACATAGAAACTAATTGAAGGAATTAGGAATATTTAGTTTGAAAAGAGAAAACTAAAGATGGATATGATAGCAGACTTCAAATACTTTAAAAAAAGTCACACAGAAGAAGGTCAAGACTTGTTCTTTGTTCCCCCAGTATGTGGGAAACTTAAGTTATGGGAAAATTGGTTCTAGTTCAATGTTAGGAAATATACTGTAACAGCAGTTTGATACTGTACTCAGTTACATAGAGAGATAGTGGGCTCCCCTTCATTAGACATATGTACAAACAGAAATTGGACAGTCATCTCTTGGGAAAGCTTTGCAGGTTTCTGCCTTGTTTAGCGACCATTTGCAGTTACGATAGTAATGAAAAAGTAACTTTATGACCAAACCTTGCATTTACGATCTTAGCAACCGCTTCACTTAACAACCGAATTGCCGGTCTCAGTTATGGTTGCTAAACGAGAACTATTTGTAATTTGAATGCATGTTCTGAGCAGGATGTTGGATTTAATTGTTAGCCTAAAGGGCCACCTCCAAATCTATGATTCTGTGACCATTGTGAAGATTTCTGTAGTGGGTTTCATTCAATCAGGGATAGCTGAATTCTTTTGGCTAGCTGGGAAATTTATGGAATTCTCAGAGAAATTAATCTTTGTTGTATACAAATAAAAAATGCTTTTTTTTGGTATACATGACTTAATACATGTATTTATTATCTGAAATAATAAGGTAGTTTTGTTAATGTATTGCCTATTCTTAAGAGTAGAATAGGTAATATATGATGATGTTACGGTTGCTTAGGCCAAGCAGTAGTAAAGACTATGTTGATAAAACTTAGTCCCTTTTATAAAAGGGGAGTTTGAAAGAAACAGCTGTTCTTCTCTTGGTTTCGGAAGTTATTATATACATTAAGCAATATATTGTAATTAATTTTGGTTAGTATATGGAAAATTAAGTTATCTATAACTGTTCATAAGGCAGAATTGAAAGAATAGGCAGTTCTGAATAATAGTTCGCTTTCCTATAACATATTACATCAGAGTTTTGCAATCTTTTCAGTCCCAGGGGTCAACTGCTATATCAGAGGCTGTACGTTTCTGCAATGACATTGATAAACACAGTAAAAAGCTTACCTTCATCGCATTCGAGATCAATCCAAATCAAGATTAATCAATTCAGCATCCAGTTAGGTTCCACTTGTATACTTCATTTCGGTGTTCCAGTTGGGGGAACCATACTTGCTGTGTTTCCATAGAATGCAAGGTAGATGCACTGAGCAGTGTCTGAGTCACGCTTATAGTGTTGCAAAGCCTGTGCTCCATCTAACATAGAAGATGATAAGTGGATCTGTCAAACAATCTCAATTTTTAAAATATTGTTTCAATTAGAATTTTTAATTTCTTTGGACAGAACAAATAATTGAAGACCACTATTTTTCAAGTGGTTTCTATGCCAGGTTTGTGTTACAATATTCTAGGCAAATATTCTTCATTTTCACAATGAATGCATGTGGACAAAATAACATAACTTTTTTAAAAAAAACATATTCTGAGGTTTATGTGGATATACATGTCTCGTGTGTATACATTTTGACTTGTGTTATTTATACTGCAGGACAGTTACAGGATATTTTTACAAGCAATACCTCAGGTCTACAACTCAATATTAATTAATCTGCTACTATTGGTGGAACAAAACAAAACAGGTTATTATTTATGCTTCTAAAACTATCTATATTGTCATTTTAAATATACGTTGAATAGTATGAGGTTGTAATTGCTTATATCATTTATTTTTATTTCATTTTATTAGTGATCTAATTTATTTTTTTATTAAGTGGGTATTTTAACTTGTTTTACTTGTTTACTGTGAATGATTTAATCTGATAATATATATTGTAGCTATTAACTGTCAGAATTTGAGTAGATTACAACAATATATAAGTTAAATAAATAAATAAATAAACATTTTTTCCCTGAAACTATGTTTATCAATAAGTATTCCACAACGGAATGTTACAGTGATGATTTTATGGCTTAAAATATCATATGACTATGAATATCCTTTATAATGCTATTAATGAAGTGTGACTGGAAAATCTAGACCCTAAATATGAGATTCAAAACTAGATTATCAGCTGAGCAAGTTTGGCAAAGCAGATTAGGTTGTGGGCAGATTCATGCTGATTCACATGAGCACAGATTTTGGGATTTGATATACTGAAGCTGCAAATAAATTGATTTATAGGAATACAAATTTATTGCTTCTACTTGGCAAAATGTTGTTAACTGACTGTTTCTAATGTATGGCACTTAATTAGTTTACTGTTGAATATAAACATAGAAGATTTACAGTCCCATAAACTGATTGAAAAAAGAAATCTGATATTATATTACATAGTATTTTGAGGGCCTACCCAGGATGTTTCAATATGCCATTAAAAGTATCTGCAGTAGCTTAAGGTCAGCTAGCAATTTCAGAAAACACTTTTCTTTTAAACTTTGATTAACTAGTTCCAGTCAGAAGCACTACAAAGGATTCTTTTCCAGGGCATCCTTTCACACCTGTTTGCTATTTAGGAATTTACCTCAGTTAACTGCTAAACATTTATTGTAATGTAGGTATTTTAGAAGGATGTTACATGGAAAAATGCATGCTTTTAATTTTATTCTTTTTGGAAACATGTAGCAGTAGCTTGTCTACTTGTCATGTTGCATATTTTATAGTGTTTCTGAGAAACTAAGATTAGCT